ACAAAAACAACACATCCGAAAGAAAAAAATTCAATACAATAAATAAAATAACGTGAAATAAAATCAATTAAATTGAAATAAAATAAGATAAAGAAGAAAGTAACAACTAGATCTACATGTTGATAAAAAGATAATAAACAAACAAAAGATGATGCTAATGTAAATTGTTTTTTTAAAAATGAATCCCTCAACAAAACAGAACAAGCAGCAAACACGGACACACAGATGATGATAATAAGACCCATGGGGTGCTGTTTTCAATTTGGCAGAAATACCAAGGAGGAAATCGTAATCTGAGAGAGAGGCAGGGGGTGTGCACGAGCTTAAAGGAGAGATTGGTGTGAGTAACAATAAATTTTGAGCTTAACGGAGAGATGGGTGCGAGTGAGCAAAAAACAATTAATTTTGAGCTTAACGGAGAGATTGGTGTGAGTGAGTAAAAAACAATAAATGTTGAGCTTAATGGAGAGATTGGTGTGAGTGAGTAACAATACATTTTGAGCTTAACGAAGAGATTGGTGTGAGTGAGTAACAATAAATGTAGAGCTTAACGGAGAGAGTGGTGTGAGTGAGTAACAATTTTTGTTTTAGTTTTAGTAGAGGTTTTACGGCGCTCGCAACAGCATACGGTCATATGAGCGCCAGATAATTAGAGGTGTTACAAGAAAGTAACAAACATAAAAAAGAAGAAGGGTAGATAAGGACGATGGATGTTTGATTGGAAAGAAGAAGCAAACCACACCAGAGCACCCGCCGACCACCCACTAAATAACAATTATTTTCAGCTTAACGGAGAGATTGGTGTGAGTAAATAACAATAATCTTAGCTTAAGGGAGAGCGCGTGCGCGTACGTATGTATGAAAGAGAGACAGAAAGATAGAGAGAAAGAGAGTACAGACAGACAGACAGACAGACAGACAGACAGACAGACAGACAGACAGACAGACAGACAGACAGACAGACAAGCCTTCCACACAGACGCCCCAGTTGCCCGTGTTGTGGCACCCGCTCCAAAAACATCCGGACCACTCAGACACACAGTTACAGACAGACAGACAAACAGACAGACAGACAGACAGACAGACAGACAGACAGACAGACAGACAGACAGACAGCACAAAGAAAACAACCCTTCCACCCTTGCCTTCCACACTGACGCCACAGTAGCCCTCGTTGTGGCACCCGCTCACAAAAACATCCGGGCCACACAGACAGACGCACAGACAGACAGACAGACAGACACACAGACAGACAGACAGACAGACAAGCCTTCCACACTGACGCCCCAGTAGCCCGTGTTGTGGCACCCGCTCACAAAAACATCCGGGCAACACAGACACGGTGGGAACAGCTGGGGTCGGAGGTCACAGAAAGCCAGCACTGACAAAACACAAACTGCGACAACACACAGACAGATAACTGGCTACACCTCGCGACTTCGGTGCTTTCTTGTCCTATCTCCATTGCCACAAGAGGCGGGGACAGAACGACGGCATTAAATGTATTCATAAAATAACTACAAGGCATATCGGACGTAGAAAGCTAGACAGAGGTCACTGGAAGTAAAATATTGATGCGTTCCTGTAAAATGTTTTGGGTTTTTTGTTTTCGTAAGAGTTTTACGGCGCTGGCAACTGCATAAGGTCATATGAGCGCCAGAAGATTAGAGGTGTTACAAGAGAGTAACAAACATAAAAAAAAGAAGAAGGGGAGATAAGGATGGTAGATGTCTCATAGGAAAGAAGAAGCAAACCACACCAGAGCACCCGCCAACCACCCACTTTTTCCAGTAAAATGTGAGGATGAAAAATCTATGACATACCATAGTAGTACAAGGCAAAGCAGACGTTTGAGTGACAGTAGTATAATATTATGGTTTTTGCTTCCCGTCTGATTAAAAATATTTTAAAATAAAATAATAATAAATAGCATTTGTATAGCGCATATCCCGCTCAACAGCAGGCTCTATGCGCTTTACATTATATTATTACCCCAGCAGACCATAGAACACTCCGAAACATTCTCAGCTTCCCGGGAAGCATACAGTGCAAGCAGCTGATTAAGCGCTCAAACACTAACAAACTGACAAGATCTTTCGCAGTCTATAGCCGGGTATCCATTCCCACCTGGGTGAAGTGAGGAAAATTGGTGCAAAGTGCCTTTCCCAAGGACACAACCTCGGGTCCCTGAAGGGAATCGAACCCACGACCTTACGGTTGCGAGTCCGAGAGCCTAACCACTAGGCCACCGACGCCACAAAACTCCCACAGCTTCATATAAAAGCTTCCCACCGACCCATCCTAGTCGTTCGAATTTCTTCACATCAGCAAAAAGCGGACATACATCGTAGTAGCCTATTATGTGCTAACAACAACAAAAAATATATACAAAATGTATCATATATTATATCTTTCACAAATTTCCATTCGCATAATATTAGTCGTATTACGCAAAGCACTAATTTTTTGCTGGGTTAACTGTGGGATTTGTGGTAAACGATTTTCATCTCAGAAAATAAAACTTCTGATGCCTCTCTGACACCTGAACCATGATGACAAGACACACCACAATAAGGAGCCTCTTTACTTGGGTTTTTTTTTTAATGAATGTGGGTGTTTTACATTCCCATCGACACAATTTACATCATAATAACAGGAGGACGGCTAGGTCGACCCTGCCTGTCAGGGCTACCACGGATGGTCTATTTTTTAAAAAGAGGGTTATCGATTCTCACAATAAGAACAAGAAGCCTCAAAAATTACCTAACGATAGACCTCCTTTTTTCCTCCAACACATGTTAGTTGTGCACACACGCAAATGAACACACAGGGACACTAACACAAATAAGAACCAATTTAAAAACAAATATGCTGGTCTGCCCCCCCCCAACAATTTAAAAAAAAACAAAAAAACAATTTTTTTAAAAATCCCCAACGTGACAAAAGAGAAATTTGACACAGAAAACGGTACATTCCAAGAGTTCTTACCTTGTGAGTGGGTGGGGGGACTTCATCTGTCTCAGCACCGGAGAGCCGACCTCACACAGGAAATGACGAAAACAAAAAGTTCTCGGCTTCCAACAAAAGAGCGAATGTTCCCAAACGAAAAAGGGAGGGGGGGGGGGGGGAACGCACAAAAAAGCAGAGGATCCAAAAAGAAAATTACGCTCTCTTGCATCCCGTGAACAAACTTTTGGCATTGATCTAATAAAGTCACTCCTAGTAAAACATTGAGGCCCTCTCTCTAAAACAGCATCCTGCAGAATCTATGCATCATCATCATCATTGCCTTTCTCACCCTGCATCAGGGTATAGGCCACGGACAAACACCCTCCACTTTTCTCTATCCTGGGCTAGCCTCTTGATGTTATTCCATGTCTTCCCACTTTTCTGTACATTTAAATGTTGCGACTGGCATTAACGAACATGTCTTGTTTCATTTCTCAGGTAAACACTCATTAAGAACAATCTTTCCTCCTAGTCTTTGAAATCAAGATACTTCAGTCCCTGAAATTAGTATCATAATATGAGCAATACCAGAGATGTCATCCCCCTGTGGTTTTGAGGACTCCCCCACCCAAAACACCTTGTATCTTACATACATAGAAGACATGAGCCGTCTTTTTACACAGAAGACGTGAGCCGTCTTCTTACATAGAAGACGTGAGCCGTCTCCTTACATAGAAGACGTGAGCCGTCTCCTTACATAGAAGACGTGAGCCGTCTCCTTACATAGAAGACGTGAGCCGTCTCCTTACATAGAAGACGTGAGCGAGCCGTCTCCTTACATAGAAGACGTGAGCCGTCTCCTTACATAGAAGACGTGAGCCGTCTCCTTACATAGAAGACGTGAGCCGTCTTGTAGAGAACAATTGTTGAAAGTGCACATCTCCCCCTCCCCCCGAAGTTGTACTCAGTCAAAAAATGTTTGCCTGTGCGTGTATGTGCGTGTTTGTGAGAGTGTACGTGTGAGTGTGTGAATGTGTGTGTGGGGGGGGGGGGGGAGGGAGGGTGCATTTGTGCGTGTATGTGTGTGTGTGTGCGTATGTGTGTGTGTGTGTGTGTGAGTGCATGTGTGAGTGCGTGTGTGCTAGTGCACGTGTATGTGTGTGTGTGAGTGCATGAGTATGTGTGTGTGTGTGTGTATATGTGTGTGTGTGTGTGTGTGTGTGTGTGTGTGTGTGTAAGAGTGCATGTGCGTGCGTATGTGCGTGTGAATGTGCATGTGCGTGTGTCTGCAACAGCTTGTGTACAAACAAGAACGTTTGATCCTGTAAACATTTACGTTGGCATAAACACAATGTGAGTACACCTTATTTTTGTCTTATCATGGGCATGTCTGTACTAATAATGAAGCGTGCTGACAAAATGAGTTACTTCTCGGATTCAAGCCTTATGGAAATAGACACCTCATGCTTATAGGTGAAGTTTTTACAATTTGTAAGTAGGGTATAATAAAAGGGGGCTCCAGTGGCTAAGTGAGTAGTGAGTTTAGACTCAAGCAATGTCAAGCAAGTGTCGGTGACACGGGGATCAGATGGGTGGTCACTGGGGTGTGTCCTTGAGCAAGACACGACAACCCTCACTCAAATTACAGGGCGCTGCACAGTGGCGACCGACAGTGGCATTGTTTGTAAACTGTTCTGTATTTGAGTAATAGTGTGTATTTAGGTATGCATTCATGCATGCATGCATGTATTTATGTATGTACGTATTTATAATTATGTATTTATGTAAGTATGTTTGCCATTGTAAAACAAAGTGCCCTTCTGGGACAAATAAAAGTGTAATTTTTTTTTTTTTTTTTAAAGGCATGTTACACATAAAGAATATGGCATTAATAGAAAATCTACAGATTTGACCCTCGTGTACATTTTTGGCTTATACCTCCATTTGTGGGCTTTGAGAAGCAACTCATTTCGTTAGCACGTCTCTTAATTCTATCATATTATATCGTGACTTAGAGAAGTACTTATACAAAAAGGCATAAGAGTACTCACATCTGCCTCTGGCATGTTGAGCCACTGCTTCGGGTGGTCTTCCGCGGCTAAGAACGCGATGAGGTCCAAGGCCGTGAGCCTCGTCTGTCGCCGTGACGACACAAACACAAGGACGGGCTTGTGCGGGGAGTGGGTTTTGATGGCTGTCCAGGAAACAAGTGGAGAGAAAATTGAAACCACTCAAGTTGAAACAAATTTGACAGAGCCATTAAGAAAGCCAGCAAAATCTCGTGATATGATTTTATTAAAATTGATGAAATGTATAAGATCAGAAGAATGAAAAAGATCAACAGCATTATAAACGATCCATCATACCCCCTTTCCACACAAATAGTAAGATCACGCAGCGGCAGATATGTACTTCTAAAAACAAAGAAAGAAAGATATAAAAGAAGTTTTTTATCATCTAGAATAAGGCTATTGTCAGAATAAGCATCAATGTGTATTGCTTTTTCGAGTATGTATCTATATAACTTGTTATATAGTTCTTGTAATTAAATTCTTGCATGTGGTTGAACGACTCATCTGATGTGATGTGTACATTTTGTCAGCTTTACTTTTCTTTCTATATTGAATTTTAATGAAAGTAATAATATAATTAAAACTTTTGATGTATACCTGCATAAGTTTTTACGGTCCTGTACATTCATTCATCCAGTGCCAGATCTGCGACAGACATCGGCGATCATGATTTTCCATTCATTTCTTTGCTCGGATGCTCTCAGAAAAGCTACGTTTCCTTGATCTTTCCCTGTTACCCATTTGTTTAGGTTCCCTAAGTATGTTGTTCTAGGCCTACCCCTGCCTCGCTTGCCCTCAATTTTGCCAGTGACAGCTAGATGTTCAAGACCCTTATGTCTATTCAGGTGTCCCAAAAACTGCATTTGTCATTTCCTGATTGTTTTTAACATTGAGCGTCCCACGTGGGCTTCATCAAGCACTACCTCATTTGATTTCTTTTCCTTCCACGATACTCTCAGCAGTCTCCTAAGAAACCACATTTCTGTTGCCTCTATTTTATTTTCCTGTACAGCAAAGAAAAATTTTCCTCAGGGATAATAAAGTATTATCTTTCCAAAATGTATATCCTCACAACAAGAAGTCAGTCGCTCATCCTAAAACAACCAAAGTATTTTTAACCCTTTTGTGACACTAGGTTTTTAACAAGTTTTACTGCCCAAATTTTTGCTAGCCAGGACAGTGAGTAGTTTCAGTCATTCTGTGGTTCCTTTCAAAATTGAAGATTTACGTGATTCTCACATTTCCGTTATAACAGATTTTGAATCTTTCATTAATTTCCGGATAGAAGTCCATTCAAATCCAGAGCGGTGCATTTTAGGACATTTTAGGTTGTACATTGCACAGGAGAACAGCATCTTGGCTCACGATGTTCAACGTACAACATACAGGAGCTGTCATAAAGAGGTAAAGCTCAGCAGGTCGAAGAAGGCTTCATGGTGTCCTTCTCCTTTTACTTCTTTTCAGTGTTTTCATTATCCTTTATCTCTTCCAGGGGGAATGAAAGGCTGTAACTGTGTGGAGGTGGAGGAAATTGCATCTCAAGAACATTATCTTCATTTAACACTTTGCAATTATATTTTGGGGAAAATCCAAAGAAACTGGGTGGTAAACATCGCCAATTGGCCAGATGAGGGGCAAAGTGCTAAAACGTGCACATTTTGTTGGAATTCCTAAAGACAAAAGTGTCAATGGATAGGAATGGAAAGGTTCAATTAAAAAAAAAAAAAAAAGAAAAAAACAACTGCAACAACAACATTATTATCTAGAGAGAAAAGGACGGACAACTGTCCTGTAGTGTGACTCACCCTGGAAGGTAGGCTTGTTCATGGTGGCCATACGTGGGCAGTAGTGCTGGCCGGGGAACCCCTTCACGTGAACCTCCAGGGGAACCGGCCGCACCGAGGGACGGAAGTTGAACAAACCCATCTGGGGAGGAAAGTCAGGTCAGTGAGAAATCATCATCACCATCATCATCATCATTGTTATCATCATCATCGTTATCATCACCATCTTCATCCTCGTTATCATCACCATCTTCATCATCATCGTCCTCGTTATCATCACCATCATCATCATCATCATCATCATCGTTATCATCGTCATCATTATCATCACCATCATCATCATCATCATCATCATCGTTATCATCGTCATCATTATCATCACCATCATCATCATCATCATCATCATCACCATCACCATCATCATCTTCATCATCATCATCATCATCATCATCATCTTCATTATAATACAGAAGAAAAAAAACGTAAGAGGGGAAGTGGGAAGTGGTCATTTGTACAGGTGACAGTCTTGGACAAGTGGCCGTTAGGAAAGGTTTGATTGTAAATATATATGTGAGGCATCGTGGTGAAATCAGGCGCTCGTCAAAATAGTAAAATCGAAGAAACGGGCACTTTTCTGCCAGTTTGGCAATTTTTATTGAATTTTTGAGTTTTTGACTCAACACTTTTTACGTCCTAATAACAAAATATTTAATTTAAGGGTAAATAACATTCATTAATGGTACAAAATATGTAAAATTTAAGTTTTCAATGACTATAAACTTTTGAAGTTACCATTCTTTGGTGGCCATTTTCTCGCTAATTTAACCTCCGAAACCAGGTGACCCCACCTTCTTCAATCGCAAATATCTCGACTTCCAGGTATTTTTTAAATCAAAAGCAAGACGAATGAACATGCTTTAAGATGATACCAATAACTCCACATGCCCAAAAAAATTGACGAGCGCCTGATTCCATGACGTTGTGACACATGCAACCACCGGACAGACATACCTCTTTGATGGCGAGCCAATCAGCCAAGTCCCGGGCGTTGGCCAGGGCAGTGGAGAGACCCACAACGCGCACAGGCTTGGAGGTGTGGGAGGAGATGAAGTTTGTACGCGACACGATCACCTCCAGTACCGGACCACGGTCGTCCCCTGTGGACAACACAAACCAAAGATTCTAAAAAGAGAAGTACATCCATACATTATCAAACGGGCCTAAAAATTTGTCCAACGTGATACTCTTCCATTTATGCAATAATATTACGATCCTGTGATCATTAAAAAAAATATTTTTCTCCAATACTTTCTAAGGAACATTGCAGCAACTGCAGCAAACCTGCACTTATCACTACATGGCACTGGACAGAAGGGCGAGAGCCCAGCTGTTGCTGGATCGATAACAACAACAACAACAACTCCAATACTTTCACATTTAATAATCACACAGCAGGAGATAATTGGAGGCTACTACTGAAAAAATCCTTCTTTATTGTCTGCTTTCTTTACCACAAACCAACCAGACCGGCGTTTGCGGTGTAGTAGTTAAGCTTTTCAGCGTCTCATGCAGAAGACCCGAGTTCAATTCACTTGGGGGGAGACTTTGTGTATCCCTCTTAGCCCAGGTTGGCATAACTTTTTTCAATATCAGCTTAAAACACCCTACATTTTTTTTTTTTTATTAAAAACAAAACCCTAAAAAACAGAAACAAAAAACAAACTAAACCAATCAAAACAGACAAAACACAAGGTGTATCTCACCGAGCAGATGAATCTCGTCAATGACCAGCAGGGCGACGGCCTTGACATAGGACCTAGTCTGCCAGCTACGACTGACGCCGTCCCACTTCTCCGGGGTGGTCACGATGAGGTCGGCATTGGCCACCGCCTTCATGTCAGGGGTCACGTCCCCGGTCAGCTCCACCACTCTGGGGAAAAGAACACGAAATATTACTGGGCTCTCGAGGCCTAGCGCAGGCAAGTTTTCTACCCTTAAATTTAAAAGATTTCCTTTTAAAAATTCAAACTTGATATTCTTGAACCGTAGTCTATTTTGTTACCGAATGAACAAACAACTCAAGCCCCGTACCCAGAGAAAGACAAAGGAAACTGACGATTAAAATCACCAGTATTGAGAAAAAGCCCGCAGACAGAAGGAAATTATGCCCTCTAGATGGGGGGGGGGGGGGGGGGAGGAGAAGGGTTGTGGGGAAGAATTGCTAAAAGAAGGAGAATAAATAAGACATAAGTATGTACTCACTTCTTGCCCAGTTTCTGTTCAATCCTGACCTTCCAGTCTTCCATCCGCTCCCTGACCAGAGCCTTCAGAGGCGCGATGTACACAGCCTGAAACAGGACACACACATTTCTCAGTACTCACAAACTATTGGAAATAATATATCATTCTGAACAGAAATTAACCAAAGCAATCAAATGACTTGCTTATTACCAAATTTTTTTTTTTTTAAACAACACTAAATAAATACCAAATTACAAAGTATACAAAAATAGAATTCTAGCAATGAAAAGACTTGCATATTGTCAAATTTAAAAAAGACACACAAAAACAGACAAATTAATACCAAAATAGAAAGTATTAAAAAATCTAATACAATCTCCACACCAAAACAATTCTCTTTCCACATAAAAAGGCAGTATCTGCAAAACAATCTTGTTTGTTATCGAAGACAACATTAGTGACATGATAAATTTATCTTTCATAGCAAGTAACACAACATGAACAGTCAATTACAACTTTAGAGTGTACAGAGGTTTCCCCTCTATAAATAGAGCCAGGCTAACCTTGAACTTTGGGTACTCCCGAAACACCCTGAAGATGGCCAGTTCCGCAGCCACAGTTTTTCCCGAACCAGTAGGGGCGCCAAGTAGGACGTTGCAGTCGTTGTGGTACAAGGTGTGAAAAATCTGGGTCTAAATCAGACAAAAGTCGGCCTTTGTACAAGCACATTCAACTCTCAATGTCTACAAAAAGACAGCATAATTAGCTATCAATGGTAAGAATTGGGGAAAAGGAAGGAAGTGGAGGGTGTAGGGGGATTAAAGTGGGGGGGGGGGGGGGTGAAAGTTGAAATTAGGGAGGAGGAGAAGGGACTAGGGGGTGTAAGGATTGATGGCGGCAACTGAACAGCATCCCTGAGAGATTTTGTATCATCTGTTCCACTTCATAATATACCATGGAGTGTTAAGGTTCTATTTTGGTCTTTAAATATTAGCATATTACCTCATCTGGAGAGAAAAATATTATTTGTCTCGACAAAGTGGAATCAAGCACTCGTCAATTTTTGGACACATGTGAAGTTATTGGAATCGTTTTATATTTAAACCTTGTTCATTTGCCTTGCTTTCTTTGAAACAAATACCCATCTATCTTGAATAGAAGTTGAGATATTTGTAATTAAAGGAGGCGGGGTCATTTGGTTTCTGAGATGTTGTTGTTGTTGTTTTCAAATCCCTTTAGTAGCTGCGAGCATTTCGCTCTTGGCAGCGCAATGCCTCCCTTGGCTTCTGAGATAAAATTAGTGAGAAAATGGTCGCCAAAGGTTAGTTATTTCCTTAGCTTGAGAGTCTGTGGAAACTGAAAATTTACATTTTTTGTGCTTTTAATCCACACAAAAATGTGTTCTTTAATGGGCATGAAAGGTGTTGAGCCAAAAAACAAAAATTTGATAAAAGATCACAAACCTATGGAAAGTGCCAGTTTTTTCACTTTGATTATTTTGATGAGAGCCTGATTTCACCACGCTGCCTCACATATATCAAAAGCCTTGTAATAAATTATTTGTGACAGAAGACAAAGGCAAAGAATTGGCCACATTCTCCTTATGAACAACTGCAGATGTCCCCTTTTAGTTTTAATGAGGGGAAAGGATGGACCAGAATATCTAAAGCATACAAAACGGAGCTAAAAGCAATCATGGTAATATATCACCAAGGAGGTCAACTATTTCACACTGACACGCTGAGCTTACCTGTATGGGGTTGAAGTGTGAAAAGCTGTACAAAGCCTCGAACCTCATATCCTTCAGGGCAGTGACGGGTAAAGGCTGAAGGTTCAGCAAATCTGACAGAGAAAACAGAAACACATAAGACAAGAGCACAAAAGTAAACCCAGGGTTCATTCTGAGCAGGAGACAAATAACATGTCAATTCGGAAGAAAATTTTTCGTTCAGCAAGCAAAAATACCTAATGGTTCACTTCAGACCGCATAAAATCGAGGCCTTCTAACCTTCAAGGAAATATTTTTACAATAGATCTAGTTAAAAATGTCTTTCCAAGACGTTTCCAAGAATTTTGCCAACTTCCCAAAATTTCAAGAGTTTCATATCTTGGAAAATAAAAACGAGTTTTCTAGTTTTCCAAGACCTGTACGAACCCTGTAAACTGTAATACCAGTTGCCCATTGCAGATGTGATCGGGTCGGGTCGATCGCCCGAAAACAAACGGGTTTGTTTTTTAGGCGACGAGTCGGCCAATCTGTTTGAGCTACGATAGCCGCTTTGCGCTTTCAATGTGGCGAGCAAACCGACCCGACCCGATCGTGCCAATGGGTACCCAGTATAATGATGTCTCTGTGCGTTGTTTTCACAACATAATGTCACCTTACTATGACGTAACTCATAAATTCTTACATGTTCATCTAAAATAGAAAGCCTCACTCATCATAGATAGGGGAATAAGACAAGAGGAGACCGATAAAAGAAGAGAGGATGACAAAAAGAAAGGAAAAAGAACAGACAGAGGAAGAAGAGAGAAAGGAAGAAAAAAAGGAAGAGAGACCGACTGGCTATCACTGGTAATCAAGAAATGACAAAACAACTCGGAGAGAAGAAATGAAAGGAAAAAGGAAGGGAAAAAAAGGGAAGGAAGAGAAATGAAAGAAAAACTGATAAAATATAAAACAAAAAAGTGTACCCTAAAATTTCTCTTCACTCCTTGTAGACATGGACAGTGTGAGATTATTTTAATAATAATAATAATAATTATAAAAATAATAATGATAATAATAACAATAGATTGCATTTATACAGCGCTCTGTCCCATACCAGTATACGCTCTGAGCACTTTTAACACCCTGCCATCACAAGGCCCATATAGTAAAAACACTTGCCATAAAAGGCAAAGGCATTTGGGGAAAATCCAAAGAAACTGGGTGGGTGGTAAACATCGCTGATCGGCGAGACGTGATGGCAAAGTGTTTAAACACTGCAGCAAGTAATCTGAAACAAGAGAGAAAAGCTTAACCCTATCTGTACGTCGTGTTTTACTACCGTATCCATACGATGTGGGGAACTCTGTGCCACCATTTTCCAAAGAGGAAATTTACCCGTTAACCCGATCCGTACGCTTTGCATAGCAGTCTGTCAAAATGATTTTTTTTAGAAATACTGAAAGTTTAAACGAGATCTTCGCACAAAAAGTATTCTAAAATGTGAAGAATACAACCCCGTGGGTACAAAATGACCCCAGGGCGTAGGGATAGGGTTAACACACCTGTGTGAGGGGGATGCCTCTCGGGCAAGATGAGATGCTGGAAGGACATGGGGTGGGTCATGCTGGAGCCGATCCAACGGTCAGAGACCACCTTCACGTAGTACTGCGACGGCAGGGGTTCGAAGATCGGGATGGTGAACACAATAGTCTGAGTCTCATAGGCCACCACCTGGTCAGAGAGAGAGAGAAACGCATTGATGGAAAACATGTTTAGTTTTAGTAGCAAGTGTTTTACGGCATTTGCAACACAACAAGGTATATAAGTGCCGAAGATCAGAGGTGTTACAAGAGAGTAACAAACACAGAAAAGGAGAGATAAGGACGATAGATGTTTGATAGGAAAGCAGGAGCAAACCTCACCAGAGCACCTGCCAAGCACCCACAAAAGGACTAAACTAAGCTCATGCAAATACAAACAAACAAAAAAAAAAAAAAAGCATAACACCAAAGGAATATTCTAAGCGTGCAAACCTGTTTTTTATGCAGCAGGAAGTACTCCGAGTGGTAGATGTGGTTGTTCTCAGGGTCCTCTACCCAGATCCAGAAAGGCTCTGCAGAGCTGCCATGCACCTAAAGGAGAAAAGAACAGAGGGAATGATTATCTCAATGAACCATGTAGAGAAACATGTTGTCGCTCCCACAAGGAAAAGGAACGACTTTGTTTGACTCTATTCAACAAGGAAAGTAAAATACGTTGAAGTTTCTCATTTTTCTTTTGACAGAGTACAAGTATACTAAAAGCAGTGTAAAAAAGTACCTATTACAGATGACGGTTGAGATGGTTAGGCCACAATTTCCACATGAGAAATTCTTTCCATCCCCAAAGAGCTCTAACTTGGGCCCCTCAAGGCCAAAGAGAGGGAAGACTACCAATAGAAGCCTAAAACAATAGGGAGGTTATGCTCGGGAACAAAGAAAGGGAGAGCTTGACCCTGACCTTGTCGTCCCAGGAGAAATCCGGAGTGACCTCCAGCCTGACCCTGAGCACGGTGCGTGTGATTGGCTGGACAGACGCCTCGATGGCCAGCTGGGGCAGTTGGTGGACGCACTTCTTGATGAGGGAGCCCATCTTCACGTGGTTCACCATCAGGCCTGAGGAAACACACAGGAGGGGCGGAGAGTTGAGTTGAGTTTTTGTAAGTGTTTTACGGCACTTGCACCACAATAAGGTCATATAGGTGCCAAAGATTAGCTCCATCTTTCCTATCAAACATTTATTGCCCTGATCTCTCCAACTTCTTTTTGTGTTTGTTACTCTCTTGTAACACCTCTAATTTCTGACACTTATATGACCTTATTGTGTTGCAAGTGCCATAAAGCTCATACACCCCCCGGAGCGGTGCTACTAACTGAATTGTCTTTTGGCCTTTCCCAAAGGGGGGGACATTAACATGTTCTTATGCACAGTAGAATTGTAAATGGGCTGATTCATTAATGTCATGTTCATTATAGTGCCTGAACTGCAACAGGGAACTGCAGCTTTTTCTTTCCTAATCCATTGATCATTTTTCCTCTACTTCTTTTGTATGTTTGTCACACTCATGTGAACTGCTATTTCCGGGGTGCCTTGATAGTCGAAGCAGACTTTGTGCTGTTGAAGCTAGAGAGGTGAGCAGAGTAAGACCGATTCCCTGTAAAGACTTCTCTGTTGACATCCACCCCTTGGCGCTCATATGACCTTATGCAGTTGCGAGCGCCGTAAAACCCTCTACTATAAAAAACAAAACAAAAACTGTTTTGTTGCGAGCGCTGTAAAACCTTACTAAAACTAAAACAACTGAAAACTCATACTAAAATTAAAACAGTATTCAAGCAAATTGTTAATAGGAAATGAATACGCCATACCAATCTCCTTGGAATCCATGTCTCTCAGTTTCTCCGGCAGCAAGCGGCGAGCCTCCAGTTTGTTGAGAATCTCGTGGCTGAGCACGCTGAACTGACGCATGGGGTTCTCGAACGTCCAGAGCCGCTTGTCCACCATCTTGCACATCTCCAGTAGCTTGACCGCCAGGAGAGGGTGGCTGTTACGCAGCGCGATCTCAAACAGAGCCCGCATGATACGTGCCGCATTCTGACCACGAGAGAAAAAGGAATGTTCTATTAACCCACATTCGTGAGGCATCATGGTCGAATCAGGCACTCGTCAAAATATAGAAATCGAAGAAAAAGGCATTTTTCCTAGTTTGGCAATTTTTAACAAAATTTTGTTTATTGGCTCAACACATTTTCAGTCCATATAAAAGCACATTGCCAGGTGAATTTTACTGAAAGACGTTAATTAACGGCACAAAATATGTAAATTTTCAGTTCTCAAAGAACTCTCAAGCTATAGATGTTACCAAAATTTGGCAGCCATTTTTTCGCTCATTTTACCTCTGAGACCAGGCTACTCCTACCTCCTTCAATGGTAAAGATCTTGACATCTATTCAAGACACATGGGTAACTTTTTCACAGAAATCAAGGCAAATGAATAAATTTTCAGATAATACCAATAACTCCACATGCTCAAAGACTGAGGAGCGCCTGATCCCACCACTTTGAGACATATATAATATCAAGAAATGATCAGTACCCGGTTGTGAATTTTCAAAAAGGCAACAGGCAGGATAATCTCACATTCAAATAGAACTTTACATCTTCAGTCAAAGACTTCCCCATTCTTTTTCTTTTCATTTTATACAAATCATTTTAGCAACACAAAATGTGATTAACACATGACTGTTATTCCAATATCTTCTCTGCTGTTGTGCTCAAGCATTCATTCCACACACCCAGCTTTTGGATGAACGAGGAATAAAACAAACATTTAAAAAAATCATCTGTTGATCAAGAGAAGGAAATCGACTCTAAATCCTCAAAATTTGAGAACATGACTTTTTTCACAGAAATCAAATGAAACGGTGTATTCCTGATGAAATGATACCATCTTTCTATAACAGTTCTTTACACAAATGATTCTTTTTTTATATCCCCCACCCCCCCTCCCCAAACCAAAGAGTATAAATCACTGTGACAATACCATTCACTTTTCAGAAAATTGAATTCTTACAAATTTCTTCAAGTGGGAGAATGAAAAATGACACAGATGATCAGGATTTTCTCCACTTTCTACTTTCATACATCAAACTTTTTCCCCTTCCAATCATATATTCATTTTTTTTAAACGAATTATGTAACATGGTAAAGTTGTTCCCGCATCCGACCCGGACAATGGGGATTGCCTTGTTAGTGAGACAACTTCCTGGGCCTTCGGCATTGTGGTAGGGTGGCCAGTTCCTTTCCACGCCGCCTTTACTTCCCCAACTCGAAGTCAGGTACCCATTATACTGCTGGGTGAGCAGGAGGGGGCGAAAAAAATACGCATCCGAACCGAGGCTAAAACCCGGACTTTCCTCTTTGGAGACGAGCGCACTAACCACTCCGCCACCGCACCCTCAATCTAGTTTATTTTAGTAAGAGTTTTACGGCACTTGCAACACAATAAGGTCATATAAGTGTCAAAGATTAGAGGTGTTACAAGAGAGTAACAAACACAAAAAAGAAGGAGGAGAGACCAGGAGAGATCAGGATGATAGACGTTTGCAAGGAAAGAAGGAACAAACCACACCAGAGCACCCGCCAACCACCCATCACCGTCAATCTAACATGGTAACATTTTAAAAAATACCAAACAAAATATAAAAGCTTAATTGGTCGGTTTCCTCACCTGAGCGACGTAGGCCATGTCGGAGATGAGGGAAAAGGAGTCGACGCTGGCCCTGGACACGTACGACTGCAGCAGGATGTTGACCTTGCCGTGAGTGTTCTCCTTCCCCCCCTTGACCATCATCTCACAGCCGTCGCTGGTCAGCCGGTCAAGCTCATCCATCTCGTCGTCACGCACCTATGGGGGAGGGGAAAGGGCGTTTAAAATATGACGGTGAATGCTTCGGCCGTTTTTGCTTGATGATTTATGATAACCTGGACAGCTGGGGTAATCAATAATAGTTGTAAAGCACATAGAGTATGTTGTAGAGTGAAAATATGCACTATATAAATGCAGCTATTTTTAGTATTATTATTACTATTATTATTATTAATAAGATTATTATTATTACCATTATGACTATTGTTATTATCATGATTATTATAATTGTTATGATCACTATGATGATGATGATTATTATATTATTATTATTATTATTATAACTTTTTAAACAAATAAAGAACAAGAGCTAGGTCGAACAGTATTTAAACCAAACAGAGGTTCGAACTGCCTCTCAGAAAGCAACCCCCATACAGCAAGTGACCCTGTACACACAGTAAGCGAACCCCCACAGTGACCCACACACACACACTAAGTGAACCCCCACAGTGACCCACACGGACACTAAGCGACCCCACACACACAGTAAATGATCCCACACAGTAGGTGAGCCCCACACAGTAACCCCCACACAGTAAGTGAGCTCCACAGTGACCCCACACAGTAATCCCACACACACACACTAAGAGACGCCACACAGACAATAAGGGACCCCACACACATATTAAGTGACCCCCCACCTTAATCTGCTGGAACTCCTGAGCGTTGGACACCAGGTTGAGGATATCGCCCTCCGTCATGGCCGCACGCAGCATCTCGTTGATCACCTGATGAAGAAGGAAAAAAATGATATGATATCAATTTTATTTTTCTCAAACCTACGAAGCAACATCTGTAATGACCCGAAATTACTTGTAGTCAGTGTAAATAATTAATACTATGTTCTGCTTAAGGAGATTTAGTTTTATTTTTAGTAAGGTTTTACGGTGCTCGCAACTGCATAAGGTCATATGAGCACCAAGGGGTGGATGTCAACAGAGAAGTCCAAACGGGGAATCAGGCTTACTCTGCTCACTTCTCTAGCCTCAACAGCACAAAGTCTACTTCGACTATCGAGGCACCCCAGAAATAGCGGGTCACAAGAGAGAAAAAACATACAAAAGAAGTAGAGGAAAAATGAGGATAGTAAAGGATGAGGAAAGAAAAAGCAGCAGTTCCCCCTAGGCCCTATGTTGTTCTGGCACAGTATGAGCATGACATTGATGAATCGGCCCATTTACAATTCTACTGAGCATAAGAACATGTATATCCCCCCCTTTGGGAATGGCTTAAAGACACTTCAGTCAGTAGCACTGCCCCGGGAGGGAACTTGTAGTCAGTGTAAATAATTAATTCTATGTTCTGCTTAAGGAAGAGGAGAGAGGATGTTCACTCGTAAAAAAATATTTGAAATGCTCATAACAAACGGAAGAACCCCAAGGGAAAAAAAGGAGACACTTGTATCTATTTCCTATTTTACAGACCAAGTTCCATTCTCAAACACTGACGTTCCTATTTCGTATTACCAGCCAATACAAACAGTTTTCTTTAGAAATTTGTGTGAATTAAAATATCTTCTTTATTTGTGCAAGGACAGAAGAATGCAGTGTGTGTGTGTGCGTGTGTGTGTGTGTGTGTGTGTGTGTATGTGTGTGTGGGGGCGTGCATATGTGTGTGTGTGTGTGTGTGCGTGTGTGTGTGT